TGAAGTAACTTCTGCTTCTGTTGTGTAAATCGCATCAGAAGCGTTTTGGCCTACTCTAACTGGTTTAATTACTTAAAGTATTGTTTTTTATGCACTTTTGTGACCGTTTGTGTGGTTTATTATACCTGTATTTAGGCATATACATATATATATATATATTTGTCTGTGTAATTCAAACAGCTTATATTGGCACGAATCTCACTAATAGCTGTGGACGACCGGACTGCCACTTTCCGGTGGATGATGGGATGCACTGTGATAACTGCAACATCTGGTGCCATAAAGTTTGCACTGGCTTACCAACATCAGTCCATAGGAGATGCATCAAGCCGTCGTGTCCGTGGGTGTGCAAACTTTGTAGCGGCCCGTTGGTCGCCCACATCCAAGAGGCTATGTGACTTCTAACGTGCAAGAAATTGACAAAAACATCAGATAAGGGGAAAAAGCTAGCATCTGGAACCGATGGCATGAATGATGATTCTGGACTGAGTCGTGAGACTGAGACAGAAACACATCCCGAAGCGAAAGACACAACACTGGTGAAGTGCGCCCAGAAATCTGCCACAGCATGCTAAAAGCTCCGAAAATCAAAGAGAGCAAGTAGTACCAACATTTTAAGACTGCCGGGTGATACCACAACGATGAAGCGTTGAGTGTCTGGTGAACTCATGGCTTCCAACTGTGGCGAGAGCAAAGTGGAAGTGACTAATTCCACTTGATTAGTGATAAAACATAGGAATATGATGAACTATAGGAAAAAGAAAAAGACGGCTTAGTAATAAGGTTTCGACGGCCGTATACCCTAATAAGATTGCAAAACCTTTGGAATCCAGTTACAGTATCGTAATTTGGAACTTCGAGGAATCAAAGAAAATAGACCGAGCTGCCCGACATGCTGATAATCCCGAGGTAGTTAGCTCCGTCATTCGTGAAGTACTTCCTGAAAAAAGAAATGGAGTTCACATGAGAAAAGTCATCAGAATCGGTAAATGAAATGCCGATACAACGGAAAGTTCCCCACGACTGCTGAAGATAGTATTGGTGAACGAGATGGAGAAAAGCATTATTTTCAGTAACGCATTCAAGATCAAGGACAAAAATGTGAGAATAAGACCTGATTGGCTTCTGGAAGATAGAATTAAGGGAAGAAAGCTGTGGCTGAATTAAAAGCCCGATTAGGAAAAGGTGAAAAAAAACCTCACTGTTGGATTTTCGGGTAGTGAGGTCTCGGAAACCTATGTTGCCCAGACCTCTGTTCATAAGTCTAGTGAACACGTGGGTCTCTTGGTATGCCATACGAATGCGTATAGTCTTAGGATTAAGCTTCCTGAACTAGGAGTGTTGTCTGAAGGACTACAACCTAATGTGATTGCTATCACTGAAACATGGTTGTTAGTGGGTGTAGACTTAACTCCACTCATACCTGGGTACATCTGCATTAGAGCTGACAGAGTAAGTAGTCGGAAAGGTAGGAGAGTTGCTCTATACATCCGGGGTGACATAGGAATTAGATCAACGTTATCGGTAGCTCATGACAGCGGCACCAGTGAATCCGCAAGTTGTGTCATTAACTTGAACAAGGGCATTGCAACAGTTGGGGTTATTTATAGAAGTCCTACCAGCCAAGCTGACGATTTCGTATTAAATCACCTCAGGACGTGGAGTAGTAGAAATAGGTGTCTAATAGTGACTTTAATGCCCCACATGTTAATTGGGAGGAGTTAACACCAACTACCTTGTACACTTTTTTCAACAGGGAACTCATACTCACAGTGCTTGAATGCGCACTTGTGCAGCATATCGATGCACCAACACGATGCCACCCTGAACATGATCCGTCCACTCTAGACTTGGTATTAACACACCAGAAGGACGATGTCGGTGATATTAGGTGCCTGGCGCCTCTAGGCAGTAGTGACCATATAGTTATCCCTTCTTTGTTTAGGATTCACGCTGTCATACATAGGTCAACAGCTGCTTGTCCAAACGCTTGGAAAGCGACTATACTTGCAATCCGAAATGCAGCAACCCTAGCTGACTGCTCTGTTAATACACACCAGACTGTCGAGGAGGCCTGGATGGGATCTAGGAATACACTGCACCCTTCGTACCTTGGTGTACGCCTCGAAAACTATCACGTAATTTTCCTTGGAGTAGTAATGAAATAAGGAGGTTATTAAGAAAACGAAAGAACTTATTGGATCGGTTTACTGTGATTGGGAGGGATGAGTTTCGAATGGAATACCACAAAATTCAAAACCTTTGCAAGTAGATGATTGACAAAAGTTGTATGGAAGGTGAGACACAGTTAGTACTGGATTGTGTAAATTATCAAAAAAACTGTACTCGTATATCAAACTAAAACTGGTATACAGTCACTCATAAGGAATATTGGAGAGGTGACCAAGCCGGATGAAACAAAAGCTGAAAAGCTCTCGGAATACTTTTGCAATGTTTTTTCGCCTAATCGTACCACTCAGGGGTGTAGCGAGGTCACTGCTGTAGCCACTAAAATGCCCACAATTTCGGTAGAGCATGCAGTGGTTCTCGAACCACTATCTAAAATGAAGCCAGGTGAATCACCTGGACTTGACGGACTTCACCCTAGACTGCTAATCTCCTTGGCGGATATAATATACATTCCACTTGGGGTGATTTTTCAGGTATCTCTCACCCAGGCTAGGCTACCCAGGGACTGGGAAGATGCTTTTATAAACCCCATCTTCAAAGAGGGGAACAGGCAGTTAGTATCTAACTACCAGCCTGTAAGTCTGACCTGCATTATTGCAAAGGTATTAGAAACCCTCATAAAGGATCAGCTCTTAGCTCATATGGAGAAACATGGCTTACTGGTAGTGGAACAGCATGAATTCCGTCCAGGACGATCCTGCCTGACAAACTTACTGTTAGCTACGAAAGATTGCGTCGAGGCCAGGTATAAAAACCATCTTCTGGACGTTGTATTTATCGATCTTAGTAAAACATTTGATAAGGTATCCTATTTAGGTCTTCTTAGTAAACTCAAACCTTTTGGATTAGGCCAATGTCTATGTGAGTGGTTTGGTGACTACCTGATGGATAGGAGGTAGAAGGTAAAGGTTAGTGGTGTACTGTCAGGGTGCAAAGCAGTACTAATTGGAGTACCTCAGGGAACTGTACTTGGCCCCCTGCTATTCTTATTATACGTAAATGAAGTGCCAAAAATTCTTACCTCATCTTCCTTACTATTTGCGGACGATATTAAGATATGGAAAACCGTAAATAATAGCGATGATAGGTTGGTACTACAAAACGATCTAGACAAATTAACCGAATGGGCTAACCTTTGGAGTCTGGAAATTAATTTCAAGAAAAGCGTGGTAATCCACCTAGGTTAGGTCCTACACGTCATACTCCCTGGGGGACACAGAACTGCCAGATGTTAGGGGACAAATAGAATTATTGTAATCCGTGACTTAAAAAAACGGCAAATTGTAATGGAGCCGCAGCTAAGGCTTTTCGAATGCCATACGCACTTCGAAGGGCTTTCAAAAGATTAGACGAGGCTATGTTCCAAGTACTCTATGCAACATATGTCAGACCTCACCTAGAATACTGCATACAAGAGATGGGTCCATGTTTCAAAAAGGAGGCACATATCCTGGAAAGAGTACAGAGGGTAGGAACCAAATTAGTGAGTGGTGTCTCACACCTTCCTTATGATAAGAGGATGGAGCATTTAAATCTCTTCCCATTATCATACCGAAGGAGAAGAGGTGACTTTATTTTGGCTTACCATATATTAAAGGGTGATTTAGGGATTGACCTTCCAAACCTTTCCTCTCCCTCTAGGATACGTTTACTAGGTCACCACAAGAAGGTGCTCAAGCCGAGATCAAACAAAATACGTAGTGAATTTAGATTCTCTCACAAAGTGTTCAACAACTAGAACTCCTAACCTGATTCAGTAGTAACAGCCCCATCGATGAACGCTTTCAAAGAGAAACTAGATCTCTGCAGAGATACATATCGCAAGGATTAACATAGGCAACAAAAGCCTTCTATCCTTATAATCTGAACCTGAGTAGGTCTAGGAAAGCATGTGGCTAAATGACGTTGGAATTATTCTTTTAAGTTGTCCACCTGTTATTTAAATTCTTCGTATGCTTCGAACGCCTGTCTGCTATCAGATGAGAGCCTAGAGATGTTGGAATCCTGTTCGAATTCTTCAAAACCAGGCGTCGACCCTCTCCGCGTAAGGCTAGTAACAGGAATAAACACCCGGGAATCTAAAAAAGGTCAGGAACTGTTTTTGCCATCAGGAAATAGGCATAGGAAATAAACTAATTTGGTTCTTTCTGGTTCCTTAAAATGGCAGGGATTGGTCTTTTATGTGTGCCTGGTATAAATTAGGATTCAACACTATGCTGCTACTTCTTTGGTGGATTGTTTGTAAACTTTCTTGTGTCGCAAATATTTTAAAATCTTGCCTCTGCAGATCAATAGTTATACGGAGTGTGATCTGCTAATACACATGGAAATAATTGTCACAAGTGGCTGTACTAGTTTCCTTAGTGCTTCTGCATGATGATTTTAATAGAACCGAAGCTAAACTGAATAGACATTTGAATAGTAGTCGCTTACTGATAAGTTTAGTCAGCTGAACAATATTTGCCTTTTACCTATTTCTGGTCTCCTGGAAGGTTCGGCAATACTAACTGCTTATGGTCACACTTTTCACCACTGTGTATTTTGTTGATTATCGTATTCGGGTCAGTCTTAGAGTTTTACTTATTGATTCCCAAACATCATCCTTAGTTAATTATGAGGTGGTTTCCTTAACCCGTACTACTCTTATGGACCCCACAAACATCCATTTGCGTAGAAATCAGCATAGTTTTGACCATACGTTTGTTGTTCTTAATGTTCAAATGACTGATGAGTTTTTATTCAAGTTTTCAAAGTGAATGTATTTTCGTCTTTCAGTTTTTTGGATTTTACTTCAAGGAAAACCAGTCAGGTACATATTTGATGGCATTCTTCTGATGCAGGATATACATGAACACAGGAAAGAGTCTAGAGAAAGAGCCCATTTAAGGAAAAAGAGTCGAGAATATAAAGGCACTACTGACCAGTCAGCTAGTCGTTCTCCCAATCAATTTTCGAGCTACAGACATCAAGATGATCTTCACAGTGACAGTTATCATGACCCCAATCGCGATGAGGGTTATGTAGATTTCCGTGGATCTGAAAGGCCTTCCTCTTCTAGTCGTCATACCAATAGAGATATCGAGAACGAATACGTGAATGAAAGAGCGGAACGCCGAAGGTCTAAAAGGAGAAATCCAAGACATGAAAATGCTCCAAATATTAGCAGTACTGGGCATAAGCACATAGTGGATCAGTTTCAAGATAGTGATCATAGTTATGTCAATGACAGTGGTAATCACTACGGAAATCGCTCTACCTCCCGGGTTTCTCATAATCGAGACTTATACCGTCAAGATAACGAAAGTGATTTATCCGATTCTATTCAGTATGCTGGTTCAGTGCCTGCTTCTCCTCTGCCAAGCACCATTCCAACCTCAAATGGTCGACATTCTCAGGAACCTCCAGAATCTTTTATAGGTTCAAACTCTAATCTGCACTCTGAGTCCTACTCGGGTTATGAACAAGATGTATCAGGAGGTCGACACTCAAATGCGTTTGTTGGAAGTGGGCAGGGTTACTGGAATCCCGAGTTCGGACAGAGTCAACCTCAGAACATTCCCCAACAAGACTTTTCGGAGGTCACACCTGCTAAAAAAGTATTGGCCAAGTTTTTCGCTTCCTTCAGGCGACGTAAGCCTAAATCCCTGGGTGGATCACAAATAATTAAGCCTTCTGATAATACTGTATCAGCTCGAGTTATTATGCTTGATGGAGAGGAGCTCGTTTTTCAATTGAATCGAGATGACGTCGGTCAAGTTCTTTTTGATCATGTTTGTCAAAGTTTGGATCTTTATGAAACTGATTATTTTGGACTAACTTTTGTCAGCAATAAAATACGTACATGGGTAAGTTCCACTAAGTCTTCATCATTTAACTAACTTCTTAGTGACATCAAAATAAACTATATGTGTGGACTGCACCAGTCGTTTTATTTCACTTAAGATTTGTACAAAGAGTACTGTCTGTCTGTCTGTTTTCGACAAAGAACTTTGCACCGATGTGCAGCAATTCTCCCTCCATGTAGCACAGAGAGCAAGAGAAGAAAGTAAAAAGAAACTCAAAATAAAGACAGTGAACAGGGATATGAGGCATAAAGAATAGAAATATCGAATAACAATATGGTTTTATTGGACATTATAAGTCACAACGAGTGGATGGATCTGCGCCATTGGGAACGATCACTTTGAGCCATATCACCGATTGTCTCCAGCCATTGGTGTTTACCGTCCCCAGGACCTCAACCAGGAAGTCTACATCTTCCTACACGGCTTAAACTAACTGTTGTGGACTTCATTGACTAAAGAAGCCATGTTTCCGTTTGACCACCGCTGGCTCTTTTCCAACCTGATTTATCCTATGTCAGCTAACGTTACTCGTCGAGGAAGGCGATGGCAAGGAGTGCATGCGTAACACATGTCCTACCCATCTCAGTTGATGTAGCTTCACAGCCTCATCGATTCATTTCCCCTCCCACCTACCTAACACTCGACGCATCACTTCAATATTGCTCACCCTATTGTGCCACTTCACACGGGAGATAGAACGCAGGCACCTATGATCAAAGACAGCTAGCCAGCTATTTCACATCTTCCACTTTCAATGGCCAGGTCTCTCAGCCATAAAGGAGGACAGAGTGGACTGCTGAGCAGTACACACGCCCTTTGATCGACAGCCAGCCGGATATGACGTCTACGCCAGAAACAGCATAAATTAGCACATCCGAAACTAGCCCTCTCTATCCGTGCTGAGATTTCGTCAGTGATCAACCCGTTGACACTGGCTGACGCAACTTCCCAAATAAGTGAAGCGGTCAACACGCCCTACCACTTCACCCCCTATTTCTAAGCTAGGAGTCAGTATAGTCCAATCCTGTAACATCATCTTACATTTAGCGGGAGTGAATCGCACGCCAAACATTCGTAGGTTGCAGCTCAAGAATACTGAGTAAGATTTTTATTGTTTTTTTGAGGTGGTAACAGGATAGAGTTTTGGTCACTGTGGTAGAGCATAATTCCATCACAGAATAGTACTACATCACTGTGTTTTTTTAGGTTAGTTATATGATACCTGAACTACAGAAAGTCTTATACCTACAGTACCATTGTCTCAATCACAAGTGTGTAAAATTCCCAGTAATGTTATTTATCTGTAAGTATGAGGCACAGTTTCATACTACTCAACATGAATGGTTATCTCCTATGCATTTGATAGCTGAAAAGACCTGAGTTATGCCTACAGATGAAACTTGACTGAGTTTAATCGAAAAAGCATTTCTTGTATGTGTCAGCTAAGTGTGTAGTAGTGTGTTCTGTCCACCAATACTCTTCCTTTCTTAATGTAGCGGTGAGTAATGGGGTGTGTTCAACCGAAAAAATATTAGTTACGTTATGCCCTGTATAAGCTATTTGAGTTCGACGCTTCTTTAGGAAATGCTTAGGCGCTGTTAATGGAGTTTTGTTGGTATTCAGTGTGTAAAGATCGGTAGATTGATGTGGTATTTTTTGATGTGCTATATATATATATATATATATTCACTTCTTTGACGTAAAATATGCTTTTTATAGTTTGTAGCGGTAAACTAATTATTTTAAGCTAAATGGAATATTTATATATATACATTTTCAAATGACTTAATTTCTTTGATTGTTTACAAGATTATTTGAATTATACGGCCTGTGTATGATATTGGGTAAAGAGTGACTGTGATGCATTCACGTAAGTAGTTATCTAGTAGAAAAGGGATATGCGAATGATTATTATAGTTATTTTTATAAGTGTTCCCTTGGGTTCCTAGTGGAACATAGGGCTTCAACTACACGTCTCCATTTGGTTCTGTCTTCTGCTGTACTTTTCACCTGCATCCATGTTAATCCATACTGTTTCAACTCCTCTTCACACGATCTCCTCCATGTCACCCTTGGACATCCCACTCTCCACTTCCCTTTCGGGTTCCACTCGAGTGATGGCCTGACTCGCGATGTCACCCAACGGCCTCCTCAGCGAGTGAGTGTCCAATCCATCTCCACTTTCTCCTGCATATTTGTTGAGCGATTGGTTCTTGTTTTGTTTGTTCCCATAGCTTCTTGTTGGTTCTTGTTCTTTCCGGCCATCTGATCTTCAGTATAGAGCGAAGACAGCTGTTGTTGATAAAGGTCTGCAACCTGTTGAAAATATTCTTTGTGACCCGCCGCCAAGTTTCTGATCCGTATAGAAGAACTGACTGACTTGACATTTGTATTGAAAATCCGTATTTTGTTGTTGATGCAGGCTGAGTGACGAAGATTTCCAGATTGGTTTCAGGTTGATGAATGTGTTTCTCGCCTTCCCGATTCTCGATTTGACATCCTCGTCCGTTCCTCCTGTGGTTGAGACAATGCTCCGTAGATAAGTGAATGAAGTATCCTCTTTCAAATCCCTCCCATTGATGGTGATTGACGTTGGCTGTTGCTGTTGTTAGTTAGTTGGTTATTTTCATAACCTCTGTCTTGTCTATGTTCACCTGGAGTCCTGTCTTTGCTGCTTCTTCGACCAGTTTGTCGGTTTCCGCTTGTAAGTCTTCGATATTGTGTGACATCAAACATAAATCATCGACGCACGAAATCCAGGTCTTCTAGGTTCTTCATGTCGGCCCAGGATATCCCTCTCTTCTCGTTTCCCACTGTCTGACGCGTATTCCAGTCCACCACAATTAGGAATATCATTGGTGATAATAAGCACCCTTGTCTGACTCCTGTGTTTACTCCAAACGCTTCGCTGAGTTTTCCGTTGTGGATCACTGGACATGTGCCGTTGTCGTACAGTTGTTGAATAAGGTTGATGAATATTTGCGGTACGCCGTAGTACTCGAGTAGTTTCCAAATTACTTCGCAGTCAACGCTGTCTGTCGAAGGCCTTCTCAAAGTCTATGAAGGAAGTTGAGGTGGAGGTTTGATCGCCATTCCATGCTTTGTTCGATGATGATACGTAGAGTTGCAATTTGGTCAGAACATGACTTACCTTTCCTTAATCCTGATAATAAAATTAATTGTTTGCATCGTTGCACCATCATCATCAGTATGTTTTATCAGAACCTAAAGATGTGATGATGACTCGAAAATTAAAAAAACAACCTTTGGTGAATAGGAGATTGAATAGTCAATGGGATAAATAATCGCGTCTTTGTTATTACCACTTTAAAGACATATCCAGTGGAAAAACTGTATATATTTTTTTATAGTGTGTTCTGCTTGATCATGAACAGATGTGGGTAAACTTCTAGACTTACCATAGAGGATTGGTGCTAAAACTTCTAAGGGGGTGATGAGGCGGCGATTGCAACGTGTGGATTGGCAGTTCACTCACTCACTCACAAGGGAAGCAACTACAATGATATCTGAAACAATGAAGGGAAGTTAACCTTTCAGTCACTCTTTTGTTGCCGATTGTGTAGTTGCATCATCAGTTAAGCAGTACCGTTGGATGTTTAATACTTGTCGAAGTTACACAAGTATTAAACATCGAAGTTACAAAGATTGTAAGTTGTCATATGCTAAAGTAAACAGTTGTTGGTCCCAAAGGAACAACTTGACTAAACTCACAAAGGTGTTATCTAAAACTGTCCTAAAGCTTGCGCTTACGATGTTGTCTAGAAGGAGAATGAAAGTTCCACAGTTGAAACTGCCCAGTTTATAGAACAAAACCAAATCATGAATTATTCCCAAGTATATATTGTTCAATTTTGTTAGAAAGGAGGTAAATCCTCTTTTCGTAATAACAGAATGGTCAGATTAAGCACTGTGAACTTCGGGATATCTGATTCCAAGTTCTACAGTTTTTTTTTGGGGGGGGGGGTTCAGTGGAAATGTGACTCATTGGTTTTAAGCACTCGACTTCTAGCCAGTGGCTCCCACATTCGAACCCTCGACGCATCTAATTTGATCTACATTGAAAAAAATGAAGAGTTGCCCAACAATCACTTGCTGTTCCATGCAGTTGAAAAAATAAGCTGCACGTGTTGTCTAAAGGCTAATGATATACTACCTGGCTTCCAATGCCTCAGTAGGCGGAACCATGTCTGAACCCGCGAGTCATTGGTTGGAATCGAGCGCGTTTGAACCAATTAGCCACAGCTCTACTCCTGCGCCACTGCGTTGTATCATCAGCTTTTACACAGTACGACTAGCTCATATTCTAGTTAATCAGAAATCTGTTTTGAGCAATTGAGTGCGTCGGTGGCACAGCGGTTAGGATGCTTGCCGACCATGCACATGGTCCGGAGTCCGATCCCCGGCCGACGCACTCCTTTACCTCGCTAAGCCAGTAGTGAGACTGGTAAAGAGGAAAGGTTGGGCATGAGGCTACAGAAACTTCAAATCACTAGCTTGAAGCCCTATGTTCCACTGGGGACGTGAAGGAAAAAATGCCGATTTTTTTGGTTTATCCATCATACAAGGCCTAAGTTAAGCTTCGAATCGGTGACACGAATCAACGTTCTTAACTAATCTTATGATTTCGGAATAATTTAGGGGATGAAAAACTAATTTTTGTTACCTGTAATATTCGTTTCACTAAGTGTTGTTAATTTTTTTTATATTTTTTTATTCTTACTAGTTTTGGTTAGATCTACAGACAAAGATTGGAAAACAATTGCGTGGTAAGTAATACTTTGTGCATAATGTTACATATTTGTAATCTTTTATTTCACTCACTTCTGACCTGTATCTTTTCACATGTTTGTAACACTGAACTTTCCTACACGATATGTAGAGAAAAGCCATTGTTTTGTAGTTTGAACTTGAAAGTTGTAGGGCTAAATGGTACATTGACTTACTTTTGCAAAGCCCTCACACGGCAAGTTACAACAACAAAAATTGTTTAGTCATTTAACAAAGAAGATACATGAACGTTCATATTCCCATGATAACATTCTAGCACTAAGAAGCATGTTGTATGATACCAACTGGGAACTATTTACTGACGATAAGTTGGATGCTACTGTCTCTAATATAACCGATTATCTGAAGTTTTGTTTGGATATTTGCTGTCCATATGAAACACTGTTTTCGAGATTTGACAGAATCTCTTCTTTGCAGCTGAAAAAACTTAGAAGACAAAAAGAGAAGTTGTATAAAAATTGTGATAATACTGGGGTCCGTAAAATAAACACCCTTATAAAAATTGAAATAGAAAGATTGAACAGACTATATAATGAAAAATTTTTATCATGTAAAAATCCTTCAAACATTTGGAAACTTTTCAATAAACTTACAAGTAAAAAACAAATGTCTGTTGATGCTTATTCTGATGTTAATGCTTTAAACAAATCATTTATCATGAAACAAATTAATATACCTGTACCTGATGTAACTAGTCAAGATAATGGTCATTTTCCGGGTTTTAAAGAAGAGGATGTACTATTATGTTTGAAATCTTTAAATCCAACACACAGCCTTGGTCCAGATGGTGTACCAGGCATTCTTCTTCAAAAGTGTGCAGACATCTTGTGTCATCCTCTTACTCAAATCTTTAATGCATCATTCAACAAGGAAACGGTACCTGCTGACTGGAAAGAAATCAAGGTTGTACCTGTACAGAAATCATCATCTGGAGCAGGTATAAAGTTTAGACCGGTCGCTATAACATCTCCTTTTTTGAAAACTATGGAGAAACTTCTTTTGAATACTCTTAAACCTTCTTTAAAAGCTTTTAGTGACCCTAAGCAGTTTGCTTATAAGTGTGGAAGAAGTACATTAGATGCAGCCATTGTACTACACCACAATATTGTTTCCTGCCTTGATAAGGGTGCTAAGTTCGTTCGAACAGCTTTTTTAGACTATACTGCAGCTTTCGACTCTGTTCCTAGGACACTTTTATTAGGAAAGATTATTTCAGCACAGACAGAGTCCTGGGCAACTAGATGGCTGTCTTCTTATTTTAAGGATAGGAAACAGCATACTGTTTTGGCTGGAAAGCGCTCCACTTCTCAGCTAACTGAAAGTGGTGTGCCTCAAGGAGCAGTACTTTCTCCATTTCTTTTCTCTTTCTTTTTGCATGACCTTCCGAACTCACCCAACGTTAACTTCATTAAGTATGCTGATGATCTGACCGTTTCTGTCCCTGTAGTTTCCACATTGGATTGTTCCCATATGAATGGCTTCTTAGCTGAAGTGAAGGATTGGTCTAGCTCAAATGGTCTTAAACTAAATCCAACTAAATGTAATACTGTTGATTTCAGCTTGAGAAATGAAAAAGACTTGCATGGATTGATCCAATCTCATGATTGTTGTAATATTGATGGTACCATGATAGAGAGTAAGTCAAGTGTTTCTTATCTTGGCATTAGTTTCTCTTCAAACCTTTGCTGGTCGTCTCATATTCTTATAGTTTCTACGAAAGTTTTCCGTCTGACTTATTACATAAAGAAGTTGAGGCACTCAGGTATAACCCAATCTCTTCTCATACAATTTATTAATTCATGCGTTTTGCCCATTATTCTTTATTGTTCCCCATTATTCTTCCCTGGGCTACTCAAGAAAGACCATATATTACTACGAAGAACATTGAGGGCTGTAAGTAGGGTCAGTGCTATCCCTTTGACTCAACTAACCGACACTGTTGTCAATAGGCACATGAATTCTTGTAAACAGTTAGCTAAAGTTATTTTGTCTGATAGTGAACATCCTCTTTATTCACATTTGTTTCCTTGTATCTCTTCGGGTAAGACCAGAAGAAATTTCATAAACATTTATGCTCGTACTACAAAATATAAAAATTCGACCGTACCATATTTGGCACGAGTATTGTGTGAAGAGACGAATATCAGAAAAGAACTTTTACAACTTCTAAATCATTAACTAAACTAAAAAATGTAATGATGTATATTATTGCATGTGTGATTTGTTATATTATTTATTTATTATTCACTATGACCTAGAAATGGTGTATTTTGTTGGGGTTTTTATTTTTCCTATTAACTATTACTATTTTTAAAATTTTATACATTTATATAATTATAAAAAGAGCTAAACCAATGCAATATGTAAAATGAAACGCTGAAAATTCCATGCTGTAAATTGTTATTGTTGTGGAATAAAGTGATTATTATTATTATATTATTATTATTATTGACTCAGTTAGCTATTGTAGCTTTCGACATTAACCTATGCTATGTACTTCATCAACTTCCGGAAACTCTAGAAATATAACAGACTATGCTGTAATTATCATGAGACAAAAAATACACGGTTGTTTATTGCTAATATATGGTGTTAAGTTTGATTGGACACTAGTAACTAGTGTTATGCGTCTAGTCCTTTTTTGCTGCAGACTGAATTCTATCAGTCAGGTTTGCAATGTGGTCACCATTCAAGGTAGCCGGCGAATCGACAGCCTTAGTAGCTCAGTGGTAAGGTCTCTGACTGCAAAGCACTGGATGACGCGGGTTCGAATCTCAGAAGGGACATGAGTTCCTTCAAGGTGATTGCAGATACGCCTCGCTGACTGACTGGTGAGTGCCAACTAGCACGAAACCTAGGTCAGACTGGGCTTCCTGTGGCCGATTGCCTCCAACCATCAAAGATCTGGTGTTAAGTATTTACAGATAAGGAACAGTGAGCTATGAAGGCGGGTTTTGTGTTCTTTTTGAAATGTATTAGCAAGGAACTAACACAATGTTAAATCGGCAACATCCTACATTTACACATGTTCACTTGTTTTTATCTTCTTCCTTCCGTTTGTTGTTGCTTGAGCATTTATGAGTTGAAATAGAAAAACGTTTGCTACCAGGTTAGGTTATCAGCTGCACATTCTATGTCAGAATTAAAATTACTATCTGAAGTGGGTTTGAACACACACACGACTCACCGAAACCTTTCCCAAGGGCACTGCTACGTACTCAGGCATCTGTTGTTCAGTTCCAATGCAAATGTATGACTCACAAGCCAAACTTCTTGTTTTTAAGTCAACCAACTTCAGCTTTACGTGGAACTTTTCAATTTACTTTGAATACTATCTGATTACTCGTGAAACGGAAGAACCTAACGATACATGATGGCAAAATATGCAAAAAATTGAAACTTCTGCTTCGGTAGTCTTTATTTCACGCTTGCTATATTCCTTCAAGATGATCTCTTTATTTTTCCTCTTTGTAACTTAACCTATCTCTCTACTATTCAAGATTCCTACATAAGACACCAGCAATATACTTTATACATACTCTTGTTAGCAGCACAGACCACACTGGCGTGCTCGTGTGATTGTTGGATTACTATTTTCTGATTAATGTCGGGTGTAGATTAAGTAGACTAAGTGATGCTCGACAGAAACAAACACGAGAGAACCAGACAGGTTTTAGACCAGGAAGAGGGTGTATTGATCATATCTTCACCCTTCACGAGACTCTGGAACATAGGCATACTTACTGGCGTCAAACAATCGTCATATTTCTTGACCTAAAGGCGGCATTGGATTCCGTCGACCGACACGTATTATGGCGGTGTTTGGTTGTGAAGAGAATGCCGAGAGAGTATATAGCACCGATCAAGGCACTCTTCTCGAATTTATGCAGTCAGGTGAGAGCCTACAGAGGGACGGTAAAAACCAATGGTTGGAAACAATTGGTGACATGGCTCAAAATCGTTCTCAGTGGCGCAGATGCATCCACTCCTTGTGACTTATGATTTCCAATTAAACTGTTTAGTTCTTCGATATTACTATTCCTTTGTCTCACACTTCTGTTTACTGTCTTTATTTTGCGTTTCTTTTTACTTTCTTCTTTTGCTTTGTGTGCTACAAGGAGGGTGTGTGGTGACTTGAACTACCGCATATCGGTGCAAAGTTCTATGTCGAATACCGACCGACCGACCTACAGAGAGTTGTCATATGAAGTGATGGCAGCCAGCGATGTCCTTCAGGGATGCCCAGTGTCCCCATTTCTGTTTAGTGACATCATAGATGTACTAATGAACTTACCTCTAACTGACTTCAGCGACTCAGGGATTGACTTGTTACCATCAGGGAATAATCTCGTTGACTTAGAATATGCAGATGATATAGCCCCTGCCTTCTAGGTGAAGACACTGAAAAAAGAATCAGAGTCTTCAGATCACCTTGAGCAGCAGCAATCTTCAAATATTTGGTATGCGATTCACTCCTGTCAAATGTAAGATGATGCCACAGGATTGGATTGCAATGGACTACATTGACTCCTAGCATAAAGATAGACAAGGAGTGAAGTGGTGGCTAAGCGTGTTAACCACTTCACTTATTTGAGAATTTGCATCAGCCAGTGCAAGAGGGTTAATCGCCGACGAAAACTCAGCATGGATACAGAAGACTCGTTTGCCATTTATAAGCCAACTCACACCATCTCTGGCTTAGTAGACGTCATATCCGTTTGCCCATCTATCAAAGGATGTGTATACTGCTCAGCAGTCCGCTCCATCCTCCTTTACGGCTGGCTGTGAGTGGGACATGGACATTGAAAGCGGTAGACATGAAAAGCCCGACTAGCTGTCTTTGGTCATAGGTGTCTGCGTCCTATCTACCGTGTGTGTGTGTGTTAGGTGGTATAACAGGGTGAGCTATATTGAGGTTATGCTTTGGTCGAGTGTTAGGTATGTGGGAGGGGAAATCAATCGACGAGATTGTGAAGCAGTTACGTGGATTGAGGGAGATGGTTAACAAATGTGTCACGCACGCATGCATGCATGCATTCCTAGCCATCCATCGCCTTCCTCGACGGACAATGTCAGCTGACATAGGATGAATCAGGTTGGAAAAGAGTTAGTTAGTGGTAGTCAAACGGAAACATGGCTTCATCAGTTAGTGAAATCCACAAGAGTTAGTTTAACCCAGACAGTCAGCCAGCTACCACGTCGGGAGGTGTAGACTGCCCGACTTCCTAGTTGGGATTCTCGGGATGGTAGGAAGCAATGAATGCTGGAGACAATTGTTGATATAGCTGAAAATCGTCGTTGTCTATGGTTGACTGATGCAGATGCTTCCACTCTTTGTGAATTATAATATCTAATAAAAGTGTATTGTTCTTGCATATTACTATTGTTTTTGCCTCACTGACACTGCTGTTTATTATCTGTCTCGCCTTTGAATCTTCGTGTATTGTGTTGCGTTGGTTTGTGTGCTCGAAAGAGAGGTAGTGTTCCGACTGTAACTGGTGCACATCTGCGCAAAGTTCTATGTTGAAATCCTCTCAGTCAGTCAGTAGAGATGAAATCCATTGGTTTACGCACTTTATTATCATGTGGTCGATTCCAAATTTAGCTCCGCCTACACACCTAACTTCTTCGTGGTGATCTGTTTGCATCATAAATTATCATATACGGAACATGGTTCGTGTTGTTAGAATTTACTAGAAGAAATGTTTATTTTTCAGTCTTCATACATTTTTCTCTCCAAAAACTTTGAAAATGTAACTTTCCTAGTAAATTAAGTCAGTCTAGTTTATTTATTTCTTGACTGTCTACTATACATTTCAGTTTGGGATAACACTGTTTACTTTCTTGGTGATTGTGTGTATATAGACAAGTACTGAGTTGTCGTAGTTCATTATAATACTGGATTTAAGGATGGATTGATTGGAATTACTAAGAACTGCACTTGATTTCTAAGCAGTTATATTCTACAGATACCATTTATTTGTGTGTTAGTCAATCAAGCCCGGAAAAGCAAGACAAGCTTTCACTACTCTCAAGTCTGTGTGGAGGTCAACAGCACGCAGCATCAAAAATAAGATCCGGATTTTAAACTCCCATGTGAAGTCAGTGCTACTTAACATACGGATCAGAGACCTGCACTGCGCGTCATAAAGAGCATCTCAAACAAACTACAGACCTTCATTAACAGTTGTCTTCGCTCAATACTCAAGATCAGATGGCTGGCCAGAGAAGATCAGCAACAGAGATCTCTGGCAATGAGCGAATCAACCCAGCAGGAACCGATTGTGAAACAAATAGGCAGGAGGAAATTGAGATGTGTTGGCCATACTCTGAGGAAACAAACCATCAAGTGACATCACTAGACAAGCCATTGCTCGAGTGGAACCCGAAAGGGAAGTGGCGAGTTGGTCGTCAGTGCGAGGATGACTTGGAGGAGGTGATGTGAAGAGGAGGTGAAAGCGTGTGGGCATACTTGGAGCCAGGTGAAGACTCTAGCAGAGAACCGGACGCGATGGAGACGCACGGCTGAAGCCATATGTTCCTCTAGGAATTAAAGGATACAATAATAATAATAATACAATCAAGCCCTCCCCCTTTTTTTTAGCATAAGTGATTTTTGTTTGAAGGTGGCTATGTGCAACATTATACAACTGTTGTGACTTAACTGCACACTAAACTTGCTCTAAAAATTTTATGTGCATTTCTTAATCAGGTGGTTGCTGTTTGTTTTTCTATTCAAAACTTAGAGGTGTATCGTATATAATTTTATTTTAATACTACCGTTCAATAGCTATCCTCTCGTTCCACTGTTCGAAGAGAGAGAGAGAGAGAGACAGGGAGTTAAAAAACCCACTGAACAAAAATGATGATTCCGTATTACAAATATCATAGATTGGTTAGCTGGCCAGTGACTGGGATATCCAGGACTCGTGTTTCGCCTTATCTGATGTGCAAGTGTATCCTCAGTCAGTGATAATGATGTGCCGCTGCTGAGACTCAAACCTTGGCACTCGTAGTCTCGAATGCCTAACTGTTAACCACTAAGCTACTGAACCTAATTAACTCAATAGTTTGTCTGTCTGTCTGTTTTCGACATAGAACTTTGCACATATGTGCGGCAGTTCAAGTCGCCACACTCACTCCTTTTAGCACACAAAGCAAGAGAAGAAAGTAGGAGGAATGCATAATATAGACAGTAAACAGAGGTGTGAGACAAAGGAATAGTAATAATGAAGAACAAAATAGTTTAATTGGAAATCATAAGTCACAAGGAGTGGATGCGTCTGCAACAGCTATTGAGAACGATTTTGAGCCATGTCACCAATTGTTTCCAACCATTGGTTTTTACCATCCCGAGGACCCCAACCAGTTAGGAAGTCTAAACCTTCCTACATGGCTTAGACTAACTGTTGTAGATTTCATTGACTGGTGTCATGTTTTCGTTTGACCGCCGCTAGCTCTTTTCCAGCCTGGCCCTATATCAGCTAACATTGCCCGTCGAGGAAGGCGATGGCAAAGAGTGCATACGTAACACATGTCCTAACCATCTCAGTCGATGTAGCTTCACAGTCTCGTCGACTGATTTCCCCTCCTTACCTAGCACCCGACCGAGGCCTAACCTCAATATTGCTCACCTTATCATACCACTTCACATGGGAGATAGAATGCAGACACCTATGATCAAAGACAGCTAATCTTTTCATGTCTTCCACTCTCAATGGCCAGGTCTCACAGCCATAGTTTAAGTAGACAAGTGCCACATTCAGTTGTTGTCAACCACCATGTAATATGTGGCAGCATCTTGGTTGTATAATTTTTGTGTCGGTTTTGACAGCGTATATACACCAACATACTGGTCGATCATTTCGTTCGATAAAAGTAAACAACAATTTTACTCATACTTTATTGTACATCAATTATTTCTGACTTTTTTCTTCTTCTTTTTCTTCTTCTACAGACAATGAACAATGGTTCTTTTATTTTCAAGTGAAATTCTATCCACCTGAACCGTCTATGCTACAAGAGGATTTAACACGTTATCAACTAACTTTACAAATTCGACAAGATATTTATACAGGAAAGCTTCCTTGTTCATGGGTAACACAAGCCTTATTAGGCTCGTTTATGGTACAAGCTGAATTGGGTGATTATGATGCAGAAAAGCATGTTGGACTAGATTACTTAAATGAATTTGAATTTGTTCCGTCACCTACACCTCAATTGTTGAAAAAGATTGCAGAATTGCATAAAACGCATAAGTGAGTAAATGTACGACTATGTTTTGTTAATCTTCCTCTATTGTTACCAGTTTGATCAAAAGCTGGAAGGTCATTTTAATGTAGCACTTCGTATTCAAGTGTTTGTGTGGCAAGGATTTTGATTATTTACAGGATTTCATCATAAGCTGACATCGGTTAGAGAACCATTGGAAACCAACAGGGAGTATTGGATAGCTGTTTCCGTTGTCCTAGTTTGGGACCGACTTTTAAGCAGTACACACCCACCGCAGGGGTTCGAATCGAGAACTTTCTGGTTACAAGGGGAGCTAGCTCGTAGATTATTCAACCACTGGGACCCGACACGATCAGCTGGCCAGCCAATGAATTCCAACTTTTGCCAATTCACAATATGGCGCGACCGCTGACGAATGTCATCTGTGGTGAGTATTTGTCCTCACACCGGACCTACTGTACCCCAGTGGTCATGAATTCCCACAACCACTAGAACCCAGGTAACTACCTGCCTACTTATCTGAATGGATTTGGAACCGGGAGGTCCTGGCTTTGAGGCTAAGCGGCTGCCTACTGTGAAGTGTTCCAAACTAGGTTGAAACAGCTGTCCAGTACTTCCTGGTGGTCTCCAATGGTTCTCTAACCAATGTCAGCTCATAATGAGGTCCTATAGAACTTCACAGTGGAAGTTTATGTTCAGGTTAAATGAGCCCTACCCAATATTAATTGCACACACATACACACACACACGTTACAGCATATACTTACGGGTTGGCGTGCTGTATTTTGAACCATACCTGTTATGTAGTATTACAGATTGATTCAACCTTTAAGTGTCTCCTTTTATAGTGAACTTTATGCCGATTATTGTTATGAATGCTAGTAGCGAAATATTCCCCACCACCACCACCCCCATGCCCTCAAAAATAATCAAACTAGCGTTATCATTTAATGCAGACTTTTCGTTACTGTAAATGATCCTCATTGGCTTACTTAACCTTCACTGACATTGTTATATATTCAAGTATTGGTTTGTAGGGATTTGGTTGATTGCTTACAGGATTTCATCATGAGCTGACATTGGTTAGAGAACCATTGGAAAACCTGCAGGGAGTACTGGACAGCTGTTTCCGTCGTCCTAGTTTGGAGACTTTTCAGCAGTACGCAACCACCACAAGGGTTCGAACCCAGGACCTTCTGGTTACAAGGCGAGCTAGCTCGTAGACCATTAAACCACTGGGACGCGATCCATTGGCCAGTTCATGAATTCTAACTTCTGCCAATTTACGATATAGCGCAACCGCTATTCAGGTAGGCAGTTACCTGGGGTTCTAGTGGGAAGTCGTGACCAGTAGGGTGCAGCAGATCGGGTGTGAGGATAAATACTCGCTGAAGACATTGGCTAGCGGTTGCGCCATGTCATGAATTGACAGAAGTTAGAATTCATGGGCTATTCGGATCGGCTCCCAGTGGCTTAGTGGTCTACGAGCTAGCTAGCCTTGTAACCAGAAGGTCCTGGGTTCGAACCGCAGTGGGGTGGGTGCGTACTGATGAAGAGTCCGAAGCTAGGACGAAACAGCTGTCCAGTACTCCCTGGTGGTCTCCAGTGGTTCTCTAACCAATGTCAGCTCATGATGAAATCCTGTAACCAATTATTATATATATTCGGCATAGTTTGTTCAGTCTCTATATGCGCCTAAATTGATTCTATGCCTCTTTTGGATAGAGTTTCTCTTTCTCTGTCTTTTTGTCTCATTTTTGCCGAATTCACGGTGTAGCAAACCTGAGAATAGAAATATTAGTCAGACACTGTGACACCGTCAAAGCTGTGTGTGTGTGTATTTTTCATGGTGTGTATATGTCTCAAATTTCTGTCTAGTTCTACAATAATTCCATCCAGAGAGTATACAGAACTGCTGCTACTACTACTGTTAAAGCTAAGTGTTTATTTTTATATGATTACACAATCATCTATCAACAAAAGGTTAATTAAGTTGTGAATTTGTAAATATATATTACAGGTGTTTTGTTATATATATATATATATATATATAGTAAATTAAGTCAATGTATGCATGGCCAACAAATTACTTTTATGCTAGTTATGTGTTTTACGTGAGTCACATCTCTGTTGTCTGTCGTGCAGTGAAAGTGAAAGCACTGTGCGTTACACTAACTAACTAACTAGACTGTCAGAACTTTTTAATCGATATATAGGCATATGGATTTGAAACTAGAATGTTACTAATCATCGAAGCTGTCCAACTTTATAATTCATGAAAAATTGTTAGTTAACTTGCAAATAGTACACATTTCTTTGCGCAGAGAAATTGTAGACTGTGTTGTGTTGTGTTGTGCTGTGCGTACAATTATATCATCTAAGTGGCTACATGAATTCGCGCGCCTATTTAAACTGGCTTCCAACTAGACGCTATTGCAATTCTTGAAAGAAATGAATGTGTATACAGCGACGCTACATCATATGATGTACTTCAGATTTCAATATAGCAAAAATATTAATTTAGAATTCTATAAAACACAAAATAATTGAGCAGAGAATATCCTTTTCGATAAATTCCTCTTCTGGCCCTACAATTATTTATGCATGTTTATATACATAGAATATTCTAGATTAGTAGTCAATAACAATATTAATGTTTTTGAAATAATATGCATTTTTAAAGTAAGATCACAACGCATTTACACATCATTTAAGATACTTAGATTACAATAAAAGTAATAATAATAATAGCAAATATAATATCAAATAAAATTAAGGAAATTTCCACAATAACTGAGGATCATTCAAACCTAGATGGCCAAGGTAAGGATAATGTCTGAATTAGCTTCTTTTCGACGCACAAATTAGGCTTTTTAATGTGGATCTCAACAGCTTCAGCAATATTTAGCAGTCGAACTCTTAAGGAGAAGTTAAAATTTGAAAGCCGTCTCGTTGACATCAATCTTGTGTTCTGTATCCACAAGATGAGATAGAATAGCGCTACGAATAGATTTTGTTTGTCCTTTACTTAACCACTAAGCAGGGTGATGTTCGGAAATCCGACGAGAAACACGCCTAATTGTACGGCACAATAAGAAGAAATGTATGTAGAAAACCTACATCAACGGGTCAGTATACCATTTTGAGCTTCGTGCCCTTAAAATACAAACGCAATCTGATAAAGTGCTTGGTTCACAGAGCAAGAGCAATTTGCTCAGACGAATGTCTTGAGGAAGAACTTAATAATATTAAACAGTTGCTGAGTAGAAACGGTTATCCAGAAGGGTTTATTGATAAGAATATGAATCTAGAATCAAAGCAGCCCAAGGTACCAACAGTTCCCCAAAAGGTTTTATTCTTACGAATGCAGTTCATTGGGGACAGCATCAGCGAGATACTAACACAGCGCCTTAGAAATGCGGTAAAAAGAGCATTCCCTGCTGCCGAATTACGCTGTATCTTTAAAACCACTCCTCTTTTGCGTTCGGGAGTAAAAGACAAACTGCCTAATTTCGCCTCCTACTCCATGTGTATCTACCAATTTAACTGCTCCTGTGGAGTGAGCCAGTTACATAGGCCGTACAATTAGGCGTGTTTCTCGTCGAATTTCCGAACATCACCCTGTGTGGTTGGTTAAGTAAAGGAAAAACAAAATCTATTCGTAGCGCTATTCTATCTCATCTTGTGGATACCGAACACAAGATTGATGTCAACGAGGCGACTTTCAAAGTCACTTACCGCATACCAACAAATCTTAACTTCACCTTAAGAGTTCGATTACTAAATATTGCTGATGGTGGCTGTTGGGATCCACATTAAGAAGCCTAATTTGTGCATCCAAAAGAAGCTAGTTCAGACATTATCCTTACCTTGGCTATCTAGGTTTAAGTGGTCCTCAATTTTTGTCGAATTTTTCTAATTTTAGTTGATATTCTATTTGCTATTACATCTTTATTATTATTATTGTAATTTAAGCATCTTTAATGAACTGTAATTTCATTGTGATCTTACTTAACAAATCGATATTATTTAAAAAACACTAATATTGTTATTGACTACTATTCTAGAATATTCTATGTATATAAACATATATATAATTGTAGAGCCAGAAGAGGAATTTATCGAAAAGAGTATTCTTTGCTCAATTATTTTGTGTTTTATAGATATCTGAATGAATACTTCTGCTAATTACTTTACAAGTAAACCTTGTATGAAGAGGGAATATTTTGGTACTAAATATGCTGGAAACTTCTGAAAAATTTGTGTGTTCACATATTGTCTGAAATGAAGCTTTATTGTTTATTATTTTTTATAAAGCAATTCTTTGAATATAAGGTATAGTATATAATGTAGGTAGTTCAATTGATACCGATATTTGTAGTTTTATGTTTTCTATTGATGTTTGAAATATTTATTTATGTGTGGATTCCTCAGTAAATATTTTTGTTCAGGCATCACACAGAGATGGTTGATCATCAACACAAGATGTAGCGGAACACTTGAGTTCATTCTTCTACTTAATTTGTGCGTCGGTGGCACAATGGTTAGGACGCTCGTCGACCATGCATATGGTCCGAGGTTCGATCCCCTGCCGACGCACACCGGATATCTATGGTCGGCCTGCAAAATTTGGGCCACCGATATCACATGCTGAAAATTCCATACCTGTACCAAAAAAATACGGTGTGGAATCAAGCTGTAATACAAAAATCAAAAAAATATCCTATGACGCCTTATCATCAATGTCTGTCTCTAGGTTGAATACACTAGAACACTAGAAAAAAAGCTGCAATGATTCAATCATGGTATGCACTCAACAGTGGACATTAACTTCATAGCTTAGGGGCAGTAAGTAACATGTTCAGAATCATTAGTTGAAAGAAAGAAAAGAAAACTATTCATGTTACTTTCATTTATTATATATGGGATTGTTTGAGCAAATATGCATTTAGAAAACAGAAAGATTGAGCGAAGAAATATTTACTTTTCAATTAGATCCTCATCTCACTCTGGCTCTACTCTAATA